TCTCGACCTTCGCCTCGAACACGTTCGACCACCTCCCCCCTCGACCCTCCAGGGCTGAGGGCGCAGCCTGCCCCCCCCCCCCGGAGGGCCCACTTCGATCTGAGCGATCCGATTCGACAGCCATTCCAGCCGGCCCGATCTGATTCGCTTCCGGAGTTCTGACGATGCGGCCAGATGTCTGCACGGCGCTGTTGCGCTTCCTGGCGCACTCGATCCGATTCGATTCGATTCCGACTCCGTGCCGACGCGGCTCGATCCGACGCGCGTTCCGCCCCGATCCGGTTTCCCGACTCGATGCTGATTGATCTTGCCCGACGATGGCCGAAGACGTCCAAGAACCTCCTCCGCCGACCCCCCCCCCTTTCGACCCTCGAGGGCCGAGGGCAAAACTTCCCCTGGCCCCCTCCCCCGCCTGGCCCGAAAGCGTTCGAAAACATCCCCTCCATGGACCCTCGAGAGCGACCCTTGAGGGTAGAGGGCGGAGCTTGACCCCCCCCTCCCGAGGGCGGAGCCTGCCTCGGCCACGCGCAGAGGGGGGTTAGAGTGATTGTGGGAAGGCTTCTTAGAGACACCCCTGCTTCTTGGAAGGCGCGGGCCTTCTGTGCAGATGTAGGGCCCATACCTTCCGAGAAACAGCCTCCTTCTAAGAGAACTTACCCTCTCCCTTTACCCGCTTGTGCGCGCCGCCAAAGGGAGACCCAACAGGAGCCAGAGGAGGAGGAGGAGGAGGAGGAGGAGGAGGAGGAGGAGGAGGAGGAGGAGGAGGAGGAGGAGTAGGAGGAGGAGGAGGCGGAGGAGGGAGGAGGAGGAGGACGAGGAGGAGGAGGAGGAGGAGGAGGAGGAGGAGGAGGAGGAGGGGCGGCCCGTCCCCCCCGAGGGCAGAGCCTGCCAGCCCCTTCAGGAGGCGCGCCCGCGGAGCCCGTGCCCGAGGGCGCGGGCCCCCCCCCCTGGCACGTCGCCCTGGTGGACGGCGGCCTCTCCGGCGAGCCGGCCGGCGGCGGCGCCGACGAGGCCCTCTCGCGGGGCCCTCGGGGGGGCGGCGCACCGGGGGACCATCGGGGTGCCCTCGGGGGGCCCTCGGGTGGGCCCTCGGGGGGGCCTCAGGGGGCCCTCGGGCGGCCCTCGGGGGGGCCTCGGGCGGTCCTCGGGGGGCCCAGCGGGGTGGTGGTGATGGTGGTGGTGGTGGTGGTCGTCGTCGTCGTCGTCGCAGGAGGAGGAGAGGGATGGGGAGCGAGAAGCAGCTGGGAGGCAGGATGCGCAGGATGAGGGAGAGAGTGGGGAGGAGGGGGAGCAGGGAGGAAGAGTGGGGCATCCTCTTGGGGCCTCCTGGACACCCCTTGGGGCCCTCTTGGGGCACCTTGGGAGCCTTGGGAGCGCTCGTGGGGCCATCTCGGAGGAGATCGATCCAAGAAGGGGGGTTGCTTAATCAGCGCCGCCCCCCCAAGAGGCCCAAATGGGGCCAACACCCTTGTACAACCAATGACTTTGGCTTCCTCGCCGAGGCCGTTTTGGACGCCCTGGCCGCTCGCGGGGCGCCCCGTCCACGTCCAGGGGAGAGGGTATGGGGGAGGGGTAAATCCCTCCCCGGAAGTGAAGAAGGGAGGTGGAAGAGGAAACGCTCTAGACCACCAGCGCCCAAAGGGCTGGTGGGATCCCTGAAGTCTGCCAGAACACCGCCGCGAGTCACCCTTACTGTAGCGTCTTAACAATCCTGAATCGTGCCAGAACGCCCTTTCTGGGATGTCAGCACCACGAATCAACGTAACTGTTGCGCCCAGACAATCTGACATCGCACCGAAACGTCGTTTCCGCGACGTTATCCCATATACTATTTGAACATGGTTTAATTCTTAAGGCGACTATGCGCGGCTCCAAGGCGAGAGTCGCATATTTGAGAATGTAGGGCCCGACTTAGGTGAAATCCTTCTATTTGTTTGAAGGAGTGTGCGCAGCGCTCAGGCTCGAGCCACATTTTGAAAACGGCCCGCATTCCATCCGTGAAACAAACTCTTGCACAGGTTTATTCAAGACGAATGTGCGCGGCGCTGAGCCGAAAACCAATTTTTGAAAACCGCCCGCTCTCCACTCGTGAAACCCAATGCGTTTTTTTTTGTGTTATAAAAAAAAACAAATGTGCGCGGCGCTGAGGCGAGAACCAACTTAACGAAAAAACGCCCGCCTTCCATCCGTAAAGCTGTTACACATACACTTCAGGATCAGAAGTGATGACGATGTCTCTGACCGAAACGCCCGGCCCGCCCTTTCGACCGGCTTGGGGGTGCGACAGGGGGGATATATTAAGAAGGAAGGAGTGGATGACGAGGGAGGGACGGACGGAAAGTGGGAGGGAGGGGGGAGGGAGGGAGGGAAACAGGGAGAGAAGGAGGGAAGGAGAAGGAGGAGGATGAGGAGGAGGAGGAGGAGGAGGAGGGAACGACGACCCCGCGGCCCAGGCCTGCGCCGCGGCCGCAGCCGACACACCAGACGCACCGCGGCCGCCGCCGCCGCCTCGGCCGGGCCGCGACGCGGCGCGGGGGGGTCAGCGCTCCATGGCGGGAGGAATTCCAGAAGGTGTCGTTGGTCATGTCAGGTTTTGACGGTGTGCTGGCTACGAACACCAGATCGCAGTGGGTATCCAGAGAGCACGTCGGCTCGGGCCACGTGGCGCCCTGGCAGGGCAGAGGGGCATGAAGTCTCCCTGATGAGCGAGCAAACTGCTCCGTGGGCGTCCCCGTTCGAAGCCAGTGCCGCGCGCGGCGCCCAGCCGCCAGCGGGCGTGCTCAGTTAGTTCAGGTCGCTGCGAAACAGCGCCGGCCCTGCAGTCGACTCAGTTGCGGCCCTTGCACATCGACTTGCCGCGGCTTTCGCCGCTGATCAGGCCGCCATGCCCTGCTATCGAACTGCTGGGCTGCGGCCCCAAGGAGGGGGCTTTGGTTTGGGCTGTCGATTCGCTGCCGCCTCGCTGCGCCGGCAGCGTGTTGAGGACCCACTTCACGAGCGTATTCTCGGAGCGGAAGGTCCAAAGGCGAGATTGCGCATGGGCTATTCGCCCTTATCGTCGCCGCCGATATTCTCGGAGCGGAAGGTCCAAAGGCTGGACTGCGCACCGTTGTGACTCTCTGCCCGTGCTGCTGCTGCAGACGCGTCATCGCCGGCCCACGAGCGTCTCACGCAGGCGGGTCTCACCCAGGGTCTTCGACCCCGTTGATCTTTCCGATCCTGAGCCCGCATGACCCTCGCGTCCGCATGGCTGCCATGCGACGCCATTGTGGGTCTCGCCCTTTGTCGATCCCTTCGCTGCTACTGGTATAAGCGGTCTGGGCGCGGCCGTTGCCGCTGCTGCCTTCACGCCTGCCGTCACGACAATCTCCAGTCGCCGTCTTTCGCAACCGATCGGGACAAGGATCCCGATACCGACCGTCGCGTGGAGCGCCAGAGGCTGGAAGCTCCAGCAGTAGTCAGAGATGTGATGGACTCCGTCTGCTCGTCCAGGTTGGTGTACTTGACGTGCGCGGCCTCGTCGGTCCTCGTGGCGTAGGTTCGCACGTTGATCATCCCTACGGCCGCGGCCGATCACGTGGAGCTCGGCCTTTCCAGTGCTGAGTGCCACCACCGATTGGGATGCCATCTGCGTCCCCAAGAGCTGCACCCCGAAAAAGTAGTATGTCGAGCTAGTTGACTTCCGTGTGAGATCGTCCTCGGCCCGGCCCGAATCGGGTCGTAGTTTGTTGTTTTTGGCATCTGCTGGTAGCGGAGTAGCGGAGCGTCCAAGCCAGGGTGCGCTTGCCCTTCAGGTAGCGCGCTAGTTTTTTGCCTTGAGCAAGCCGATGTCCATCGGGTTGCTCATGATCTCTGCGAGGATCTCCTTCACGCTGCACAGCAGCGGGAGGTTGCTGTCGTAGCCCAGTGCCAGCTGCAGGCTGCGGGCAGCCTCCCCCATGCCGCCTTGTCCGGCATGGGCCGGAGGCGCGTGCGGTACAGTCGAGGCTGATTAGTAGGTCGACCCTGCCAAATCAAGAGTACCCTCGTGTCCTGTGTTTCGTGACCCATGCCTTCTATGTTCCTATGGCAGTGTGGCCTTCGGAAGGGTCTTGTGTCCTCTCGCGTGTCCTCTCCAATCAGCCCCGACGGTAGGACCGGCATCGGAGCAGCTCTGCACCAGAGCGCGGTGCCCGCCCGGGCTCCCGTGCCGCACCGTCCCCATCGCATCTCTGCCCAACCTGTGGGGGCAGGGAGGGCCGGGGCCTGGGAGCGAAGAGGAAGAAAACCCAGGGCGCGGTACCATTCATAGGGGAACGAACATTGACATGAATATGAAAACTCAAGAGGTCCGCGCGGATTTCTCGGATCGGCGCTGGGGCCCCCTGGCGGCGCCTGCGGCGCCGCCCTTGGCGCGCTCCGCGCGCCAGGGAGGGGTGTCGAGCGCCGATCCAAGAAATCCGCGCGGACCTCCGAGTTTTCCCAACCATCCTGTGGTGTTGGGCCTTCGTTTTGAAGAGACGGTCCCCGCGTTCCTCTCTCCTCCTCCTCCTCCTCCTCCTCTCCCTCCCTCCCTCCCTCCCTCCCTCCCTCCCTCCCTCCCTCCCTCCCTCTTGGCACACCCCTCACACGTTTCGTGGCCCCAAAGGGAGCTCCACCTAAGGTCCCAGTGGCGCAGTCCGCATGGCGGCGGCGCCCCACTCTGGCACACCCCTCACACGTTTCGTGGCCCCATCAGGAGCTCCACCTAAGGCACCACTGGCGCATTTCGCATGGCGGCGCTGCCCATTTTGGCACACCCCTCACACGTTTCGTGGCCCCATTGGGAGCTCCACCTAAGGCACCACTGGCGCAGTTCGCATGGCGGCGCCGCCCCATTTTGGCACACCCCTTACACGTTTCGTGTCCCCATAGGGAGCTCCACTTTGCACCTGAGGTCCCAGTGGCTCAGTTCGCATGGCGGCGCCGCCCCATTTGGGCACACCCCACACACGTTTCGTGGCCCCATAGGGAGCTCCACCCAAGGTCCGCATAGCGGCGCCGTCCCATTTTGGCACACCTCTCAAACGTTTCGTGGCCCCACAGGGAGCTCCACCTACGATCCCAGTGGCGCAGTTCGCATGGCGGCCCCGCCCCATTTTGGCACACCCCTCACACGGTTCGTGGCCCCATTGGGAGCTCCACCTAAGGCACCACTGGCGCAGTTCGCATGGCGGCGCCGCCCCATTTCGGTATACCCCATAAGGAGATCCACCGAAGGCGATACCAACGGCGACGGTATTCACAGCTGCATATGGTAGGGTCCTTCGTCAGGCTAATTATGTTTATTATATTGATTGTTCTCCTAATTCAGCCTCCTCGTTGTACCAAGCAAGCACAACTTAGATAAACATTGCCAGTCACCTGCCCAGCACTCCAAGCCTCACCTCCAAGGCAAGCGGCGCTGGCACGACAACAGTCGGGTTCCACAGCGGACGACGGTCGACACTATGAAGGCAGCAGGGCCTGCTCTCAATCAGCCTGGCGAAGGACCCAACCATATGCAGTTGTGAATATTGTCGTTGTTAGTATCGCCTTCCGTGGATCCCCTTGTGGGGCCATGAAGCGCGTGGAGAGTTTGCCGACATGTGGCAGGGTCGCCATGCGGGCGCTGCTTCTGGGGCCTGATGTAGAGCCCCCTTTTTTATGGGGCCACGTAACGTGTGAGGGATGTGCCGAAATGGGGCGGGGACGCCATGCGGGTGCTGCCGCTGGGGCCTTCGGTGAAGCTCCCTACGGGGCCACGAAACGTGCGAGGAGAGATCGGCGATGATGGCGATGATAGTAACGATGCACAGGAACGAACCAGGGATGCGAGGACGGAGGATGAGGATCAAGATGAGGAGGAAGAGGAAGAGGAGACAGAGGAAGAGGAGGCGGAGGAGGGGGAGCTGCGAGTATGGCGATGCAGGTGAGATGAAGGAAGGGGCCAGCAAAAGGACAATTACCAAGGAAGGACATGGACATACCATAGCGGCGCGCGGGGCTTGGCCACCTTCGGCGTGGCAAGCAGGCGCGCTACGCAAAACACTGAGTGGGGAAAGAACGCAGCAGGGAAGGACATAGACACGGAACGGCCGCGCACAGGGCGGGAAGAAAATGGAGACAACATGGCGGCGCATGGGGCTCGGCCACGTTCGGCGCGGCAAGGAAGCTCGCTGCGCAAACCAATCTGTAAAAACATGGTCGGGTCGAAGCATGGCCACCAGAACGTGGATCAAGAACGCGAGCCCCTTCATCGAAGGCCAAGGGCCCCACGGAACCGCCCAACACAAAGAACATCATAGTGTTGGGGGCCACCTGGCGAAGAACATGAGGGTACCCCTGCGACGCCGAAGTTATTCTTGACCCTCGTGCCAGCTGCGTGGGGGAAAAAACAGCAGGGAAGGAACTTTACACAACACGGCCGCGCTCAGGGCGGGAAGAAACTGGACACGAAATGGCGGCGCACGGGGCTCGGCCACGTTCGGCGTGGCAAGCAGGCACGCTACGCAAAACAATGTATCACAAAGCGGCATGGGGGCGGGAACATCAGGGAAGGAAATGATCACAGAATGGCCGTGCACAGGGCGGGAAGAAAATGGAGACAATGGCGGCGCACGGGGCTCGGCCACGTTCGGCGTGGCAAGCAGGCACGCTGCGCAAAACAATGTGTGGGAACGCGGCATGGAAGAACAAAACAGCAGGGAATGAAATGGACACCACACGGCCGCGCACAGGGCGGGAAGAGCATTGACGTAACATGGCGGCGCGCGGGGCTCGGCCACGTCCGGCGTGTCAAGCAGGCACGCTATGCGGAACAGTGTGCCACGAAGCGGTGTCAAGAAGAAAAACAACAAGAGGGGGAGTGGACACGGAATGGCCGCGCACGGCGGGAAGAACATGGAGACAACATGGCGGCGCACGTGGCTCGGTCACGTCCGGCGCGGCAAGCAGGCACGCCACGAAGGACATGAACAACAGAGCGGCATAGGCAAACAACAGCAGGGGAGGACATGTACAGAACGCGGACTGCGCCACTGGGACCTTAGGTGAAGCTCCCTATGGGACCACGAAACGTGTGAGGGGTATGCCAAAATAGGGCGGCGCCGCCATGCGGACTGCGCCACTGCGACCTCAGGTGGAGCTCCTTATGAGGCCACGAAACGTGTGAGGGGTGCGCCAAAATTGGGCGGCGCCGCCATGCGGACTGCGCCACTGGGACCTTAGGTGTAGCTTCCCGTGGTTCCACGAAGCGTGTGAGTGGTGTGCCAAACTGGGGCGGCGCCGCCATGCGCACTGCGCCACTGGGACCTTAGGTGCAAGGTGGAGCTTCCTATGGGACCACGAAACGTGTGAGGGTCATGCCAAAATGTGGCGGTGCTGCCATGCGGACTGCGCCACTGGGACCGTAGGTGGAGCTCCCTATGGGGCCACGAAGCGTGTGGTGAGGAGTGTGCCAGGATGGGGCGGCGCCGCCATGCGGACTGCGCCACTGGGACC